AAATCACAAGTGTTAATGAATCCATTCTTTCATCCATTAATCAACATCCAATTTCAAATTATTCACGTGCGCCAACCCGTTGCGCTTCAAATGTACCAAATCACCTAAATACAGATTATTCTGCTGGTAAGAATAAATCATTCACGAAAAATTCCTATAGCGACCTTCTCGACGGAGACGCTGATATGTCAACTTAACCCTCCCTCCACTCTGCTTACATGTCATTACAATTAAATAAAGTTTTTAAAATTCTACAATGGAACATTAAGGGACTTATTAATAATTTTGATGAACTTCGTACACTCATAAGTGATTTTAATCCAACCTTTTTATCGCTTCAAGAAACCCATTGTAGAAGCTCTTTTAATCCTATTCCACCCAAATCATATACTGGATACTTCACGAATGCTGATCAAAACTCATATTCCAAACAAGGAGTAGGTATTTTTATAAAATCAAGTATACCTCACAAACGTATAAATTTAAGCTCAAATATACAAGCCGTAGCGATACAAATAATGTTAAATATAAAATTTACAGTGCTTTCGCTCTATATTCCACCTTCGCAATCGTTTTCTCAGCAAGAACTCTACAGTTTATTCTCCGTACTCCCCCCCCATTAATTATATGCGGCGATTTCAACAGCTGGAATACCATCTGGGGCTCAACAGTAAACAACACTCGCGGTACTGTTTTAGAAAAGGCCTTTTTTCAAAGCAACTTTTGCGTTTTAAATGATGGAAAACCAACGCACTTCTCAACTCATCATACTTTTTCACATATTGATTTAACATGTTGCTCTCCATCACTTCTTCCTTTGGTGTCCTGGTCTACTTCTGATGATCTACATAATAGTGATCACTTTCCAATCATAATCGATCTTAAACTTTCAACGTCCTCTGCTACTCCAGCAAAACAGGCCAAATTCCTCCTAGATAAAGCGGATTGGATCAATTACTCCAAACAGGTGGAGTCATTTTTGAACTCAAAGCCATTTAACGGAAACTGCAACCATGATGCTGCTATTATGTCTAAAGCGATTCGCACGGCTGCTCATCTTTCTATTCCTCAATCCAACACCTCTTTTAAACGAGCTAGGGTTCCATGGTGGAACAACACGCTTTCGTTTTTGAGGAAAAATAAAATGGATCTATGGCACCGCTTTCAGTCCTGATCAGAATCACTTGTTATTATACAAAAAGGCCAATGCTCTATTCAGGAAGGAATTACGGAAATCAAAGCCACTTAGTTTCGAACTTTTCTCGAGACGAATTCACAGAAATACATCATTGAAAGTTGTCTGGAACAAAATCAACAGACTTAATGGGACTTCAAACCTGAACGAAATTTCTGCCATCTGCACTCCCAATGGAACTTTAACTGACGCAGATGAGATTTCTAATTACTTTGGAAAAGTGTGGTGCGAATACTCCTCTGACAGCAAATTCTCCCGTGCTTTCATTGAAAATAAAAGGACTCCAATATCTCCTTCAAATAATATCGATAGATGTGCCATGTTCCTGGAAAATTGCGTATCCACCTCAGAACTCGGAAGTTGTCTCTCCAACTTGAAGGGGAAGACATCTGGTCTAGACCGCATCTCATACCAAATGATCAGTGCTATGCCTAAGTCTAGTAAAAAAAAATTACTGGACCTATATAATACGGTATTTATGACTGGCCATATACCCTACATGTGGAAACTGGCAACAGTTGTTCCAATTCCAAAGTCAAAAAATGTCTCTATCGCATCTGATTATCGCCCAATTTCTCTCTTATCTTGCCTCTCTAAGGTTTTAAAGAAGATTATGGCATCTAGATTATCTTGGTTTCTTGAATCCAAGAACCTGATAACAAAGCAACAAGTTGGTTTCAAGCGGGGTAGAGGATGCATCGACGCTCTGTTACATATTGATTATTTCACAAGCAAAGCAATTTCCGAACGAAATCACGTAACAATTCTCTCAATTGATTTCGAAAAAGCATTTGACAGAGTTGGTCTTCATGTTATCTTAAGACTCTTGAAATCATGGAATGTTGGACCCAAATTCTTCAACTACATCAAATCATTCATGTCGCATCGGCGGTTCAAAGTTAGAATCAACAATCATCTTTCTGATTCCTTTCCGCTAAAGAATGGCATTCCGCAAGGATCTCCTCTCTCTGTCACGCTTTTCCAGATCGCTTTCAACGAAATTAGCGAAATTCTTTGCCGTGTACCAAGAGTGGAACATTGTCTCTACGCGGACGATGTATACATTTTTACAAAAGAAAAAGACAACACGAAAGCAATCAACATCCTCGAATCTATTGCATGTGAGATCTCCACATGGGCAAACTCGTCAGGAGCTATAATCTCTATACAAAAATCAAAAAAAATGCACATTTGTCGAAAACAAATGTGCGATGCAGGAAACCTACTGATGCGTATTAACAACTTACCAGTACTAAATGTACAGACGCTCCATGTTCTCGGGCTCACGTTTTCAAACAATTATCGTTGGAAAGCACACTGCCTTCGGTTAAAAAACTCCCTTTTAACAAGGGTAAATTTCATACAGTATGTTGCTTGGAGAAGCCATGCGCATATTAACACTATTGCTTATCTTACCAAAATGCTTGTGTTAAGCAAGATTGACTATGCTTTGATAATTTATGGCAATAGCTGCAAATATAATATCAACATCCTTAAACCGGTCTATCACCAAGCCGTTAGAGCAAGTTGTTATGCTTTTCGGACGACGCCCATAAATAATATTACAATTGAAACTGGTCTCCCAACTTTAGAAAATAGACTGTATGAGTTAAAAGATAAAATAGTCCCTAAGCTTCTTAATTCAAACAAATCCATTCTCGGTGATGACGTAAGAAAGGTTATTATTGCGAAGAAAATTCCAAAGTCACCATCTGCAATTGACCGTTGTTTGTGCATCGCAAAGGAATTGAACATTCCCTTAAAACTTTCCCGCTCTTTTGGTGTTAAACCTCCCGGCATTTTAAAAGACTGCTCTTTTGACATCTCACTGTCTATGCACAAGAAAGAAGATACTCCAAATTACGTCTTCAGGAATCTAATAGCTGAGAAAACCCAAGTATTGGACAATACTGGTTGGAATCTTTTGTACACAGACGGCTCAAAATCTCCTCGTCTGCCACCTGCTTGTGCGGTGGTAGATGCTGCAGGACGGGTTCTTCTCAACCACATATTTCACGAAAGCACTTCAACTTTCATAACCGAAACCAGAGCTATCCTTCACGCTGCCAACCTTGCCCATAAAAACAAACTCAAAACCGTCATTGTTACTGACAGTTTGTCTGTATTACAAGCTACCCGGAACCCTTCAACTTCGAGATGGAGCACCATCAACAAATTAAAGAATATAATTACTACACCCGACGGAAAAATTAAAATGTTATGGGTACCAAGTCACATCGGTTTACTGGGAAATGAGCAGGCTGATCGAGCGGCATAGTATGCTGCTTCTGCTCCTCTAATTATGGATGATGTCAAGGGAAAGTTGGATCTTCAAAGATACATTCGAAGAAAAGTTAAAGAGAAAATTGCAGAGGGAAATTTACAATACCATCATCAAAACTACTCTTGCATTAACCCTCAATTAACTCAACCTCTATATCCAACAAATGTTGAGAAAACCAAGATCCAAACATTTTCGAGAATTCGCCTTGGTCATACAATTGCAACTCACCAATGGATCCTGAAGAAGTCTTCTCCCCCAATCTGCTGTTGTGAACAAACTCTTACTATAAAGCACATTCTCTGCGATTGCCTCAACTTTTCCTTGGCTAGAAGTATTGCATTTGGAACGATTAACCCTTTGAACAGTCTACAATCAGCTTCAGAACAGAATATCAATTCAATATTTTACTTTATTAATACTACTAAGCTTATTATCTAATATTCATTTATTTAAATTAGAGCCGATAGCCTGTGTTGCTAGTGCTCAATGTCTTTTTTTTAGTCTAAGAATTCAATTCATTAGTCTAAAATTAAAATAATAATAATAATAATAATAATAGAAATCTGGCTTTTGTTCCTATAAAACAAAGCTATCGATTATTTTAAAAGATAACAGTCTCTAGAAGAAAATCATATGTTAACATATTGATATTTTATATAAAATAAAAAATATGTGATATGCACTTCGAGCTCGCAACTGAAAATTTTTCTAAGAAATTAAAATATGCAATTATATTAATTATACGAAATTATTTGACTTGATTTCATTTTCTTAAAAATTTTACATAATTTTTTTTATGTTTACGTTTGTATGATTTTGTTATTGATTGCATCATTTTTAACAAACAAACGTCATATTATTTCCCCATTATTTTTCGATATAAATTTTGAACGACGAATACATACATTAATGGCATGCAAATTGTTCTTAAGGTATGCCTTGCAAATAAGACCTAGTTAACTAAAAGATAAATAATTAGTTACCATATTATGTGAGCGTGTGGAGTTGAAGCCTATGGCGTACCATTGATTGTAGTATTTCTGACAATAATTTTGATTTTATGGTTGAGAGAACAAATAAAAAATAATATATCGAAAACACTTTCACCATAAGTGTTTTATTATTTCCATTTCATTAATTAATGTGTTTCATAACTGAAATAAATATGTGTATATGCATTAAATGTATAAATATATATATCTAAAAATACAAAACTTGGTTTGTTTATATATTTATCAGACACCCAGCTGTTACTTTTCCGATTTTTCGGACAGCCACAATCAAATGTAAACAATGGGTTCTCTCTTTTTTTTTTGCTTTTTTATTTTCATACATATGATAACAACGAAAATGACATGAAAGTCTTGCATGATTGACACCAAATCGTTTATCAACTATCGGTTTGCTCGGGAACGAAAGTTAACTTTCAAATACGTGATTATCCCTAGTATATAAATTTCGATAACAGTCTAAGCAACTATCGATAAACGTCAAATATATTATATTGTAAGATAATTATTTGTCATTGATTCTGATAAGGTTACATTTTACGTTCGGTTATTAATGCATAAAACAAAAGTATAGAATTCGTATTTAATTAAATAAAATAAGAGTATATATTTATAAAACATAACATCAGACTTGATATAATTATGCGTATGAAGGTAGGTTACAAGAAAATGAAAGTCAAGAAGCCTTTCATTAGATTATTTTTCGTGCAATTGGGAAATAGTTTAATTAAAAATAAGGGAAATACATATCAATTTAGCTATTTTTGGGTTAGAACTGCAAGTACATCACGTCTGTGCTTTTTAAATTAACATAGAAGTGTAAGTAAACATACGTGGCAAGTCGCGCATCTATGTTTAAGAAATACATATAGCAAGCAGCAGTTATGATAATGGAGGAGGCATCAGCTGCAATAGGTTAACACTTGAATTCCACATTGTAGATAAGGAAAAATGAAGTCCTATTGAAGTGATGCTGTTTTTTTTATAGTTCTTTTGAATTCTATGTATCAACACTTGTAGTGTTTAGTTCACTGATAAAAACATAATATTTTTTTAACAGCCTGCTTAAGTTTCTTAGTTTTCCAGAACGAATTCATATTTCGTCTTTTAAAATGGACGAATTGGTTTTAACTTCTTCAATTAAAAGAAAATTGGTAGTCCAAGTAACTTGCAAAAGCATTACAAACTCTAGTCAAAACAGAAGTCGCGCAGCAGGATTTGCACTTTTCCAATTTCTTGCAAAGATTATTTGAGTTTATATCATTGAAAGAATTCACATTTTCACATTCACATTTTAATACTTCTCAAACAGTATTTTGATTTGATTTGCCGATTTTCATTAGCGTTATGCGATGTTATCATAAACCAAACTACTTCAGCGTATCTTGTAGCCCATGCTAACCGATTAATTTGGTGTATAAATTGGTTATTTGTTATTGATAGCGATCAGTATTGTTCAGTTTGATTTTAGAATTCCATAATATATCAGCAGAGTTTTTAGCATTCAAAGCAGTTGGATTTTCGAGATTTTTGGTGGTGGTCAATTTATATTCATGACAAAAAATTAGGCTGAAAGTTCTGATTATTAACATGTATACCTAATATACGTCAAATTTTATTTTCTTAACACAATGTTTATGATTTTCAGTAATGTGGCAAGGGATAGAAAGTCGAATTGAAATAAATAATTGGCATAATATGATCTTCCAATACTAACTAAGAAAGTTGTTCCAATTTTTGGGCGCATTATGAACACTTCGCAACTCCGTCAAGTAGTTCGCGTTTCCAGGAATAAAACCCAAACTTTTGCTGCGATAGGAATGCAAGTAAACGAGTTGTGTGAATAATTTGAAGGTTTTCGGAGTACTATTTCCGTGCTATTTCCGTATAATAAAAAATTTTGGAAAAATTTAATAGAATTTTAAGATATTATTTTTACTTATAGTTTAAGGGCATAGTAAGTACTACTTACAACGCCGTCTCCCTGTTGTCATAGTCTTTTCAAGTATATGACATTTTGAATAGAACGCAACTAAGACTGTTAATTGCTAGTTCTTTAAGTTACTGAGATTTTGGTTTCTTACTCAACTTATTAAAATTAGTCACAGTAAGATATTTTGAATCAAAAAGTCAAGATCTTAAAGTATGCGTATCGACGAATTTTATCAAGCATGTTATATAAGAAATATATTTCATAACAAACCATAAACTATATATCGACATAAACGCATATTGCAGCATTTGTTACCACACAAAACGATATCCTATACAGAACACCATAATGGGAAATTGTTTAAAGATTAATAGCTCGGATAATATATCGCTGTTACGTGGTGGCAGCAGTGACAGTAATAACTCGCAAGATTATGTAGGCGAACAACGTAATGATCCTTTCATATATTCGGTAATAGAGTAGAATATGGCGTATTTAGACATTTCTAACAATTTGATTTTTTAAGGAATTGGCTCAACCGAGTTTCTTTCCAACACCTTCAGTTAGCCGTCCAGCGTCACATTTGTCTGAAGAGGAACAAGTAAAAATTGCTAAACGAATGGGACTAATACAGCACCTACCAATTGGTACTTATGGTGGCCTAAAGAAATCCAAGAAATCCCGGGAATGTGTTATTTGCATGATGGATTTTTGTGTTGAAGAACCAGTACGCTATTTACCATGTATGCATATATATCACGTACGCTGCATTGATGATTGGTTAATGCGTAGTCTAACATGTCCTAGCTGCATGGAACCAGTAGATGCAGCTCTTTTGAATAGTTATGAAACGTAACATATTAGCAAATAATTCCAAAAGTTGAATTAATTACTTTGTAAAATAACTTTGAATAAATTCCTTATGCAAAGCCAGTTACTAATTTAAATATCAATAGCAAATACATCTCTTAACCGCTATTGAAATTAATTGCAGCCACTTCCCGTCGCAAAATAAACATAATTTATTCATTTGACCTCAAAACCCGAAAATACGTATTGAGGATTCTGCAAATATCAGTGAAAGAGTTCTAGGAATTGAATGGATCCGTCTAATAGTCCTACACTTTTCTTTTCGGAGGTCAAAAATGTCTAGTTATAAGGAAGGCCACTTTGATCCAGAAAACAGATTCGTTACGAACACCCTAAAACCATGAATCGGACGAATATAGATGGATATATGTGGAAGGGCCTGCAACGTGTAAGCAGAGAGTAGAAATCCTGGCTTTTTTTGTTTTCTATTGTCATTAAGATTATATTTTTCATATATCAATACAACGAGCTTAACAATTTGTTTCCCATTTAAATTGGATTTCACCTGTAATTAAAAATAGTGTGCTGCAGCGCCCAGCATAAATGTATTAATAAGAATTATTGTAAATATATAATAAGAAATTGATTGGTTATCAGTACTGCTGTTCGTTCTAGTTCTGGTAATAGATTTAAATGAAGAAAACTTAGTATTTAACTTTAACGATAATGAAGTCAGTAGAAAAATGAGTTTTTTGGTAAAATGAATAACTAGATTGGGAAAGTTTGAAATAAACATGTCGCCAAAATGATAGATCACTTGACGTGATCTAAATTTAGTAAACTTGATTTATTTCCCTAAGATCTTTCTATTTTTCAGCGAGCAAATCCAATATACCCTGTACTACAAGCGGTATAATATACATATATATACATATAGTAGCACCAAGCCAAACTTTACACTCAACAAATAAAGCTTAAAATGTGCGATCCTGGTTGTTATATAATTGTCCGCATGCCATGGATATACCCGCCCAGGATTCAAATATCAATCCTATTAAAAATTTGAGAAGCTGTCTCGATAAGAAAATTCGCCACAAAGTGTAACTTCCCAGGACGATTTGAAGACAGTTCTTCGATGAGGGTAAAATGGTATATGAATGCAAACTAAAATATATAATCGTTAGTTATCGACATACTACTAGAACGACTGGGATCCTTTTTGGAATAAACATGCAAGTGGTTCTAGCGAATACTTGAGTGCTAGTTTTTCAAAAATATATTTACGCGGTCGAAAGTTGTAGAAGAAAATTTGAAAAAAAGTGGTTTTAGTTTTTTCTGCATTACGAGCGTGTATATGAATGGATCACGCTTGCTTTTTAATCGATCAGACAATGTTTTTACCGAATTTCAGTTTCTTATCTTAATTTTGCGATTGCGGTTGTGACCATTCACAAAGCTTACCCGTTAAATTGGCGGGTTTCTTGCAAAATAGCTATACTATATCTAAAATTAGCAAAATGGGCGGGTTCCAGAAACATATGGAGCTATTCTCGTTTACAGATCGCTTATGTGTAAGTCTCTGGGTAGAATGTTTTGTAATATTATTCCTAGATATTTAAAGTCGTACAGTAATTTGTTTTCTTTGATATATGCTGACGGTCTATTGCAAATAATCCTTTCGAAAATTTTATCAATTGTCGAAAGTACGGCAATTAACCTATATTTTTCTACCGTGGAAGCACTGGATACCTTGAGAATATTTGGGAAAACTGAGATCGCTATCATTTTCTGGTAAATATCTAGTAACAACCGTAACCTGGCCTTTTAATCTCTTTAATATTACTAATTACGTTTGTTATATCCCCATCGTGTACAATTGTCCGCTACTATTTTCATTTCCTGGTTGATAGCCTTTCGAATAAATCGTTTCTATGAACATATGAGAAAACGTTCACAAATATGTAGTTTAATTTACCGCCATTCGATTTAAACTACGTTTGTCTTTTCGGTTGGTAAAAATTACTTTATCATGTGAATGTTTGAAAATAAATGTGGATCTACGCGTCCAATCACTTTAAGAAATATTACGATTCTTTTTATTGCAAATTATTGTAACAGATCGCTCTGTGGGTTGAACGTCTGCACCTGGCTTGATGCTTTAATCAGACGGGTTGCCTACAACCATAGGCACTCAATTAAGTTGAGTGATCACCCCCCGGGGGGAGAGACAATCCCCTAATAAGGGGGCCTTTCTTACCCCGAGGTGCGCAGATGGTTCGTCGTGTATGGCCGTATGAACCGCCACCCTGGTATGTGGTGAGGCCTATCATCACCCCGGATTTATTCCAATGGATATGGAATGGTGAAAACCACAGCCACCACGATACTCCCCGAAGGGCCGTACCCAAGCAGTCAGGGCTCACAAGGATTGAATGATGTACCTTCCAGCGCGCTTTCTTGGTACATCATATCAACCCCGGTGAGCGGGCTCCTCACCCCCGTGGTGCTTAAAATTAGTTTACAAAGCCTTTAGCCTTACTTTGCGCTTTGTATCACAAATGCAATATGCCACTCCTGCCTTTAGACTTAACCATACCGTCACGGTTAGCCAATTCCGGACTATCTTTCTTCAAGATATATAGTTATCGGGCGTATCATCTGACATTGCCAGATTTCCATTCTCTCAGCAATTACTATATTCGTTGTACTTATGCAAAACCAGCTACCATTGTGTCTGGTTAGGCTTTTCTTTATAGTAAAAACTATTGAGAAGATATATAAAAACTATATCTCAGTGAACCCCTAAAACCATATATCAGAAAACTCGTCGCCGAGTTATAATAGTCTTTGCCTTAAACTCTTCTTCGCCGGTCGAACCGTTTCCGGTGATCACCACTTGGAGGTGAGAGTTTCGGCACTTCTATGCTCCTTACGGAGCATAGTTTATCACCCCTATTGTAACAGAAAATGTAAAATAATTTACCATTTTTGTGTCGCCCTCGTCGTTCTGTGTGTACGTGGAAAGTCATAAATTTGAAATTGTCATAGATCGTGCTTTTCTTAATGGTTAAAGTCTTATGGTCGAGTGGCCAGGTGGTTACTGAAATTGCATGAGCTCAATTTCTCAATTAGGTATCGAAAGAGTACACGTGGTGCCTCACTTGTTGTCTCGCATTCGTTCTGAACGCTTGAAAGATGTTAGCAATTTACGTTTGGATAATCTGTTTGATCGACGCTATGGAAATTGATTTGATTACTGGTGCTTTCCAATTCCAGCGATATGTTGCTTTAAAAAAGTAATTGCAGGCTAAATTGAAACACTTCTCATAACTTTCCGATATTAGTTGCTTCTTGAGAAGTGCAATTCACGCAAGCATAGCTTTTTAACCCTATTATTTTCTGTTTGGACAAAATATGTGGCCAATGGTAAACCATGTGCGCTGTTGCAGGGTTTTGATCTTTCAGAGGATCCTTCCACATATTTTAAACTGATGACGAACTAGAATTGAACAGAGGAAAAGCTCGCGGAAATATTAAGAAAATTTACAGTCGATACGCTATGACTTATAACTTGCGTTCACGTCCACTAACGTGTCAGGTTAGATAAATGGTGTTTAGAAGAAATTTTACTTAAAGTCACTTAGCGGATTACTACAATAGCAAGTTAGCCAATCAGTCCGAAGAGACTACAGTCATAGCCAGGCATGGGTCATGCTATTATGAGCGTAAAGATATTAAAAATAAAAGACTCCTCCAAGCTAAAGACTTGCGCGCTAAATCGTTTTATTATAATTATTATATTAGTTTGGGGAAAAATAAATCCATTATTTTTATATGAACTTCAGGACTTTATTTAACATGCTTCGGATTGTCCGATTTGGGTCAAATATGCACCGTTTTGTTGTACGATTTGTTGCCATTTTAAAGATAACTTCAAAATGCCTCTCTCATAGAAGTCCTGGTCTCTATTTGCAAAAAACTCTAGTAGTCGATTTTCATAATCCTCCCTAGATTCCAATTTTTTATCATTAAAGAAATTTTGCAATGCAGGAAAAAGATGATAATCGCTTGGTGCCAAGTCCAGACTGTATGGCGGATGCATTAAAACTTCTCAACCAAGCTCCCGAAGTTTCTGGCGAGTCACTGTAGATGTGCGTGGCCTAGCGTTGTCCTGGTGGAACCCGACACCTCTCCTGTTGGCCAATTCTGGCCGTTTCTGGTCAATCGCTATCTTCAAACGGTCCAGTTGTTGACAGTAGAGATCAGAATTTAGCGTTTGGCCATATGGAAGCAACTCATAATAAATAATCCCCTTCCAGTCCCACCAAATGCATAGCAAAACCTTTCTGGCCGTTTGAGGTGCTTCACCGCTCTTTGACCACGATCGTTTTCGCGCAGGGTTATCGTATGTGATCCATTTCTCATCTCCAGTCACCATCCGTATAAGAAATGGGTCTATCTCATTCCGTTTGGCAAGGTTTCGCAGATGGAAATTCGATCCATCATGTTTTTTTCTGTTAATTGGTGTGGCACCCAAACATCGAGCTTCTTTTTGAATCCAGCTTTCTGTAAATGGTTTAAAACTGTTTTATGGTCGATTTTTAGCTCCTGGGCGATGTTACGACTGCTAACATGCCGGTCAACTTCGATCATTTCTCCGATTTTATCGACATTTTCGACGACCGGCCTACATGTGCGAAGTGCATCTTTAACATCAAAAATTCCTGAACGGAATCTACGAAACCAAAACTGCACATAATTGGCTGTTACAGTATCGGAACCATAAACACCATTCACAATTTTAGCCGCCTGGCTTGCATTTTCGCCTTTGTCAAAGAAAAACTGTAAAATGTACCGAATTTTCTCTTTGTTCACTTCCATTTTTAACACGCTGTAACTCACAACTGAATGCACCAAACAAAAAACAGCAAAAGAATTTTTTTACTGCGAAATGTCACCTTTCCAACGACCATAAATCTGAAATTGTTTGATCGATACTTTACGAGAAATCTATCAGTGCAGCCATCTACCGAAAAAATAATGGATTTCTTTTTCCCCAAACTAATATTATTATTAATTATATCAACGCTACTATCTACGTTTGATGTTGCTTGTCTCAGATAATGTTAAATAAAGG